TCATGCCGAATGCGGTAACCTTACATAGGTGGCATCTCATTTGTTAATCCCTTTATTCCCACTCCCCCCCCCACACACCCCATCGAGACTCAGAGCGTCTTGTCTGTTTTGAGTGCGTACGTTCACGAGCCCTTGAAGCGCGACGCATCCTTTCCTCTCCCTCCTCCCGATGCAAGACGACCGTTGGATCAACACTCGCCAAGTCTGGCTGCAGACAAGGGGCTACCACTTCAGCGTGGGAGTTCCTCCTGCCCGTGTTTTATTGTGTTCCTACACCTAAGTACTTACGGTCAGAAGTCCCACGCACATAGTATGGGTTCACATGGAGTAGCGAATGTCATGCCCTAGCATCAACACGCCTTCGTGCCCCTACGCGATTTTGGTTCAGCCGCACGGTACGAGGGACTACCAGCTCCGTGTGGCGTTCTTCCTTCCTTTTGATGGATCGGGTGACTCGATGTCCAAGTGTCTCCCCCCCCCCCTCATCCCCAAGAGCTCTTTGGAGAGCGCTCCCCGACTCCAACCCTCGGGGGGCCAAGCGCCAAGGTGCACGAGGGAGGCATCAGCACACAAGTATGACCGAAGTTGATTGTTGAGTATTCATTTGGGCCGACTCCGGTCTGTATCCCCCTCCGACCCCAAGGATGTATGGCGCCTTCTCCGTGCCTCGACGTGCACTTGCCCCTATCTGCCCTCTGCCTTCCCTGGCCACCTGGTGGCCCGCTATGCAAGGCACTCCTCTTTCCACCTCTTCCGGCCGCAGCTCTCCGTCGCCGATGCCGCTCGCGCCTACCGCGCGCACTGGACACCAGCGTCCTCCGTCCCCGAGGGGGGAAGTTCACGGAGTGGTCCTGTGCGACCAGGGACTACTTCAGTGTGGAAGCCCGTGCCCTGCATGCGTCACCGACGCCTCTGTGTTGCAGCATCGCTGGTGGCTTGGCGGTTGGGTATCCACCACGCGGGGGGTTCAAGCCCCAGCCGCCCCGAACTGGGTCGCCCCAAGTCAGTTCCCCGGAACCCCAGGGGGATCTACGGATCGGGGCTCAAGAGACGGGGGTCCATGCACACGGCCAGCCAGAGCGGTGGTCTTGCGGGATCCCGCAGAGCCTGGGGCGCACTGACCCGGGCTCGGGCGCAGGATCCCGCAGGATCGTGCGAGGCCTGACTGGCCCGGGTCTGGATGGACCCGGGTCAGGAGATGCCCGAACGGAGGCAGGTGCAGCCAACTCGTGAGGAGCAGCTGCGCCGAGCTCGCGGGTGAACGCGCGCGGCCCCGCCCCCCCCCTCTTCGCCGAGGGTGTGCAGCAGAATCGGGGGGGGGGGTTGGACCCACCGCGCCGTGGGTCGAGGTGCAAGCAGCCAACCTGCCCATTCCCTGGGGTGGTCTTGTTCTCACTATCTATTCTGGCGATCGGCGCGAGCCCTCGCACCCTCCCTCCCCCCGCCCCCAGGGAGTAGATCTTGGTTTCGGGCAGGTGGAGTTTCCCCCCCAGAGGACGCACTTCTGCCAGCAGTCGCACTAAGCAGGGGTGCGGAGCCAGACCCCCCCCCCTCCCCACCCCTCTGCCGCCCAATGTCGCAACGCCGAACAAGAAAACGTTGACCTGCTCACCTGCTTGTGAAATGAGCCGACGGGGGAGGATTGCACAGGACCCAAGGGGATAGATTGCAGATGTAATCCTGAGGGGAGAGATGGAACGTGTCCGACACTTTGCCACTTGTCGGCTTCCCTACTTGTCGTGGAGTCAAGACTCTGAACTTACATATCTCGCTTCTCCCCTTTCTCCTGTCTTCACTCTTACCCACGACGATGTTGCCAGTCTCTGCCATCTTCCTCCCCGAATCCAGCGTTTCTCCGCTGAGCACAACACTCAATACTTCTACTACCCTGGCGGCCGCTGCCGAATGCCGTGGTTGATTTCATCGTACCCAGTGCAGGTCGATCGTTGAGAGACGCAAATTTCGATTCGAGGCGCGTTTCACGGAAAACGACGTTTACCAGAATCCCCGTTCCCAGCGGGTCATGCGAGCGAGATGTTTTCTGGCACTTCCAGAGAGTGTGAGGGACCCCATACCCCCACACTCGAAAGCATTCGCCCGCCAGGGATATCTCACGCCACGTCCGTGGCGTCACCCTTGAGGGGGGGGGTAGCACAAGGAAACTCCCCACAGATCATGCTACATCACAGTGACCCATAAAGGGCATCATCCGGTGGCCAGTATTTGCGGAGACCTGCCTAACAGCAACAGTGTTCATGACCCTAGGTGTAGGCGCCATCTCGCCTACAGCGGATACGATGTTCTCCTGACCCCGCCCACAAGCTCAGATATCGGGGTCGGCCTAATGTGTATGATTGTTTGAACTGCGGCAAGACCGCCTCGTGGACCCCCAGCAGTTGGCCGAGCCTTGTCTCAGCATGACAAAGCGGGGCAAGGAGAACTGCCCAGGGTAATATCTTGACACTTCGCGTATCCCCACCAGCTCGGGCGGCCTTCGACCCACCTCGCGAGCCTGTTGACCCAAAAGTATCCCCACCAGCCCATCCAGAAACAATTGTCAAGGGAATTGCCAGAACGAGGGCAGTGTAGAAGCATGCAGTGGACCGAGCAGCCGTTGAAGCGTATTAGGGGTGCAGAAACAGTGGGACATCTTGTTTTACCATGTAACGAATTTTCCGTTGATGCCCCCGCTGTATTTGGTTCTTCTCGGATACCGTCCTGGAATGATCTTGCATTTCTGAACGAAGTTGGGGGAGCCTGATGCGCAGGCGGGAGGGAGGAGGAGGAGGAGGAGGAGGAGGAGGAGGAGGAGGAGGAGAAGGAGAAGGACGGGGGAGAAGATGGGAGGGAGGGGGAAGAGGTGGAGAATGAGAGGGGGAGGAGGAGGAGGAGGAGGAGGAGGAGGAGGAGGAGGAGGAGGAGGAGGAGGAGGGGAGGGGGGGGAGGAGGAGCAGCAGGGGGGGGAGGAAGGAGGAGGAGGACGAAGGAGGGAGAAGGACAAGGAGGATGGGGAGGAGCATGAGGAGGAACGCGGCACCACGAGCTATGAGCTTTCAAGGGGGGGGGGACTTGAATTTCGCACCCCCCCCTCTTTTTGAACAACGGGGCCCTGTGCTTCGTTTGTAGCAACAGAGGGGGCCCCTCTTTGTGCAGGGCCTTCGCAGGGGGGGGAGGGGGGAGGGCCTGCCAAGACCCTGCAGAGTGGGAGTCTTGGAAGCCTCTTCGTCGCTCCAAAAGGCGGGGATAGGCAATCCAGATCCTCCTCCTCCTCCTCCTCCTCCTCCTCCTCCGTCTCCTCCTCCTCCTCCTCCTCCTCCTCCTCCTCCTCCTCATCATCATCATCATCAGCATCATCATCATCATCATCATCATCATCATCATCATCATCATCATCATCATCATCATCATCATCATCATCATCATCATCATCATCATATCATTATTCTCCTCCTCCTCATTTTTCTCCTCCTACTCCTCCTCCTACTCCTCCTCCTCCTCCGCCTCCTCCTCCGCCTCCTCCTCCTCTCGGAGGCTCAACAAATGACGTTTGTGGGCCGTCTTGGGCCATCTTGGGGCCCTTTTGAGGCCACAGAAGCCCCTCAGAAGCGAGGAAGCTAGATGGCAAACAACATGGATCTTCCTCAGGTGTTTGAAGGATGCTGGTCTCGTGGGGGCTGCCTCGGAACGCCCGACGGGCTCTTGGAACCGTCTTGGGGCCGTCTTGGGGCGTCTTGGAGGCATGGCGGATGCCAGGCTATTCGGAGGGGGTCTCATTTCGGGGGGGGTCTCTTCCAGGCTATCTTGGAGGGCCTGGGGGGGTCTGGGGACGATGTTCTGGAGGGTTCTCCCACGGGGGGGGTCTAAAACTTCTCGTCTTGGAGGGTCCAGACCCCCTCCCTTTTATTACGAGATCTGGAGTATCTTGAACCACGCTGAAGCATCTTGGGCCATCTTGGAGGCCACCTTGGGCTCTCGGAGTCCCTCTTGCAGCCTTCGTGGACCGATAAGAAGCACCCTCTGGAGCCTCGCGGGGTGCCCCCTTCCAAGCCCAGGGGAGGAACTCCCCCGAGCAGTGGAAGGAGGGAGCCTCTGCAGAAAGAGCACAAAACCGAGGGCTCGTGGGACTACCCGGCCACGTGGGGCAGGATGTGTCGGGCCGGGCGTAAGGGGGGGGTTGGGAAAGGGGGGGTTACGAAATTTGCTGCATGCAGCTGGTTTCGGCCTCACCGAGGTGCCCATTCCTCGATAAATGGCCGCCTCCGGCGCCGGGAGGCGCCAGGAAAATCAGCTACGTGAGCTGATTCTCAAACCCCCCCTTTGCTATCCCCCCCTTTCGCCCGACCCGAATGTGATAGCGGTCGGGGGTTTGGTATCATCAGGCCCCTAAGTCAAGTTGCCCCATCCGAGCCGATTGCGGCATCTCCTCCCCGCCCCTCACTTGGAGGAGGTGTAAAAAGGGGTGTCTACTAGCCTCGGCTGATGGCACCGCGTGCTCGGTCCTTGGTTGCCTTACCAAGTCCCGCCTCCTCTCCTCTGCACGCTGCGCGTGGCCAACGTGCAAGTCGGGAGGACAAACCCATACACGATGAATCGTCGATTCCCCGGAAGATGCGGGAACAGATCTGGGAAGTGGGGGAAAAGATGAGCGCCCAGACAATGTGGAAACCATGGGGGAATCTGGTTATTTGTGTCTACACCTTAGGCGATGCTTAAGAAAACTTAAATTGTCGGCCAGAGTCTCGATTATTCTTAACGTTTCAATGTAAATCTTAAGATTTTAGCAGAAATGTTGGGTTTTTAATCAAGTTCTGAGACTATGAATTTCTTAACCCATGATCTCTTAAGCATTTCGCAGGGTGTATTTATTTGTGTGTCCCTGGGTCCCTCTGGTCGTCCTTGCCTGCCTCCTCCTTTTACCTCTCCTCCTTACGGCTCGGCCCGCCCAGGCCGGGAAGCCCGTGCGGTCCGGCATCGCGCAGGGGCTGAACCGCCTGACGTTCATGGCCGTGCCGGGGGTCAAAAAAAGGCAGGGAAGGAGGCAGGAGCTGCGAGAAGCAGGAGCTGCGTCACGGTTACTCAGAACCCCGAATCATCAGGGGTAACTCGGGTCAGGGATAACTCGGGTTCGTTTTCCGGGAATCCAAACCCGAGTTACCCCGGACCCGAGTTACCCCGGATAACTCGGGCGTCCAGAGCCCCGAATCATCAGGGATAACTCGGGTCAGGGCTAACTCGGGTTCCTTTTCTGGGAATCCAAACCCGAGTTACCCCGGACCCGAGTTACCCCGGATAATTCGGGCGCCTAAGGGAAGGAAGCAGGAGCTCCGAGAAGTATCGGGGGAGCGTAAGACCCGGGTTTGCCGGGACTCGGGTTCGCCATCGTTTTTTGGCGACCGCGACTCGGATTTTGACGAGGGGGAGTTTCGTGGGATGTCTGCAGCGGGAGGCCTCGTCAAAATGCAGGCTCGGCCTCGTCATTTTTTTGACGATCTCGTCGGGGATTTCCGAGTCCCCCGTACCCGGGTCTTACGTCTCCCCGAAAGTAGGAGCTGCGTCACGGTTACAGTTGTTTTTGGTCTGCGGGGCGAGAGCGAGCCTCTTCCGACAAAAGCGAAGCGGGCTACGCATAGCTCTAATGGGGGAGACAGGGCACAGGCGGGCGGGGCCTCAGGCGGCCGGAGAGGGCGGGGCCCAGGGTGCAGGCGGTGCCGAGAAGCTTGCACAGGAAAAGGAACGCCAAGAATGAATCACCGTTACAGTCAACCCGCATAGTAAGGATGGGCAACCTTCCCAAGGGTACCCTTGCATCCTTGCCTCCTCGGTCCATCCTTTGCCACTTTCGTTGGCCGCGCCCCGCTTGAACAGCTTCGAAGTGGGAGTCCAAGGCCCTTGCATCCTTATCGCGCATCCTGATGATACGGGCCGGCTGTATAGTGTTGATGACGAGGTTTTCGACGACGAGATGACGGCGATCGCCACTGGTTTCGGCATGTGGTGGCCGCAAGAAAGGGAAGGATGGAGAGTACGATGACGACACCGTCGAGGTTTCGCGATGACGACCGGGGGACTATGTTTGAAGCCAGCTTTGGTGTTGGCGTAGGCGTTCGTGGTAGTTGTGAAGGGTGGTTGTGTTACACAGATAATTCACACCAGCGCATGGACTCAACACTGTTCATTCGGGCATGGAGCCCCATGCTTGCGGATCGCAATGTGTATGGCGTTCCATGTGCTGGTTGGAACACCGTGTGTCATGGATGTGTGGAGCCCACAGGTTCACTGGGAGGGGAAGCCATGGAGATTCACATGAAGTCATCCCCGCCTAGGATTAAGTCAGGCATGTTCCTCTAGAGGAGGAGTATCCAAAAATGGTCAAACAATAGTCTGGGGAGGATGTGTTCACTATGTTTGGCCATCTTTGCATGTGTTTTGGGCATTTATTTTTTATGTTCCTCCACAGTCCGTCTGTAGGAGGACCTGCCTGACCTGCGCCTGGGAGAGGTCAGGTCGGCCTGCGGGGCCGTGATGGTTCCCGGACGGGGTGGGGGGAGGATGGCTCTCCCTGCCCATGGGCAGGACACGCTCGCCCGTGCGCCTCTTCTACCCTCCGTGCCGCGGCCCCTCCTCCTCCGTTCCTCCTCCTCCTCCTCCTCCTCCTCCTCCTCCTCCTCCTCCGCCTCCCTCTCGCCTCCTCCGCCTCCTCCGCCTCCTCCTCCTCCTCAGCCTCATCCGCCTCCTCCGCCTCCTCCGCCTCCTCCGCCTCCTCCTCCTCCTCCTCCGCCTCCTCCTCCTCCGCCTCCTCCTCCTCCTCCTCCGCCTCCTCCGCCTCCCGCCGAGGCCACGCTGTCCCACCTGCGGCGGATGCTGACGCCCCTCGCGCGCTCCGGGAAGCTCGCCAAGCCGCGCCAGCTCCACAACACGCACTGGAGCGCCGCAGGGGGTGGTCAGAGGGCGAGGGCGGCATGGAGGGAGGCAGGGTTTGAAGAAGGAAAAACCACTAAACTTTCGGCGCAGAGCTCGAAGAGGAACAAAAAACACACGAAACTTGTGGCGCTCCGCGCGGACTCTTGTCTTCGCTCCGCGCCTCGGCCCCCCGCGGCGGCGCCTCCGGCGCCGCGCCCCTGGCGGCGCGCTCGGCTCGGCGCGCCAGAGTCCAAGGAACCCGCGCGGGGCGCCAGAAGTTCGTGCTCATGCGATTTTGTTCCCGCCCCTTTCGCGCTCGGCGCGCCAGGGAGGCAGGGGGGGCCCCCGCGCGCCTCCACGGCATCCGCGCGGAGAGCGCCAGAAGTCTACGCTTCTCTGTGTGTTTTTGTTCTTCTTCGGGACAAGGATTACGTCGGGCACGTGGCTTCACAGGAGGACGATCCAAAAATAGCTGCTCCTTCTCCTGGGGGCGGCAGGGCGGCAGGCCTCGGATGGGGCCTCGGAGGGGCCGGCCGCGGGCCGGAGCGCCGCCGCGGCGCCGCGGCCTGCGCTCCGCCGCCTGCCGGGGAGGGCGCGCGTGCTCGCCTGCCGTGGGGCCCTGCGATCCGGCGGGGCACGGGCGCTCACGGACTGGTCGTGGGGCGTCGGAGGAGGAAGAGGTACTCCAGATCTCGTAATAAAAGGGAGGGGGTCTGGACCCTCCAAGACAAGCCATTTCAGACCCCCCCCCCGTGGGAGAACCCTCCAGAACGTCGTCCCCAGACCCCCCCAGGCCCTCCAAGGTAGCCTGGAAGAGACCCCCCCGAAATGAGGCCCCCCTCCCTTTATTACGAAATCTGGAGTACCCATGCCTCTACCCTGAAGTCGGGCCTGCCCCTCAACAGGGGGAATGTTCAAAAATAGTGACGACATAGATTCGGGGCGCGTTTTTTGTTCTGGGGGATGATTTGGGGAGGGTATTCTTTGATTATTCTCTTGCACCGCTGTGCTCTAGAGCTCGGACATCTTCATTTTCGTCGTGGTTCGTGGCTCGTGGTGGTTCGTTCCCCTCGGCCCCTCCCCTGAGCCTGAGCCCCAGCTCCCCTGGGCCACCCACCCCTCGGAGGCTTGCTCCGTCCAGGCCCCCCTGGGCCGCGGAACTTTTTATTTTCGTAGTGGTTCGTGGCTCGTGGTGGTTCGTCCCCCTCGGCCACTCCCCTGAGCCTGAGCCCCAACTCCCCTGGGCCACCCACCATTTGGAGCCTTCCTCCGTCCAGGCTTCCAAAGGACAGCCCCCCTGGGCCGCGGACATCCTTATTTTCGTCGTGCTCCCCCTCGGCCCCTCCCCTGAGCCTGAGCCCCAGCTCCCCTGGGCCACCCACCTTTCGGAGGCTTGCTCCGTACAGGCCCCCCTGGGCCGCGGAACCGTTTGTTTTAGTCGTGGTTCGTGTCTCGTGGTGGTTCGCCCCCCTCGGTCCCTCCCCTTAGTCTGAGCCCCAGCTCCCCTGGGCCACCCACCCTTCGGAGGCTTGCTCCGTCCAGACTTCCCAGGACAGCCCCCAGTGCCGCGGACATCCTTATTTTCGTCGTGGTTCGTGGCTCGTCGTGGTTCGTCCCCCTCGGCCCCTCCCCTGAGCCTGAGCCCAGCTCCCCTGGGCCACCCCCCTTGGGACCCCCCCTCCGTCCAGGCTACCCAGGGCAGCCCCCCTGGGCCGCGGAACCCTTTATTTTCGTCGTGGGGCCACCCCCCCTTGGGACCCCCCCTTCGTCCAGGCTTCCCAGGGCAGCCCCTCTGGGCCGCGGAACCCTTTATTCTCTTGCGCAGCTGTGCTCTAGAGCTCGGACATCTTCATTTTCGTCGTGGTTCGTGGTGGTTCGTCCCCCTCGGCCCCTCCCCTGAGCCTGAGCCCCAGCTTCCCTGGGCCACCCACCTTTCGGAGGCTTGCTCCGTCCATGCTTCCCAGGACAGCCACCTTGGGCGGCTGACATTCTTATTTTCGTCGTGGTTCGTGGCTCGTGGTAGTTTGTCCCCCTCGGCCCCTCCCCTGAGCCCCAGCTCCCCTGGGCCACCCCCCTGGGGACATCCCAGCCCCCCTGGGCCGCGGAACGCGTTATTTAATCGCTTCGCTCATTCCGCCGGCCCGTATTGTGCCATCGCAGGCGTTTGCTTGCGCGTTCGTGGCCTCTTGGAGCCTCGGTGGGGCCGTTTGGGGCCTCTTGGCGCCTCTTTTTAGGCCTCTTGGAGAACTCGGGAGGCCTCCAGGGGGCCTCCTGAGCTCTCGTGACGGTCTCTTGGGGGGCTTTCGGCGGGCTCTTGGCGGTATTTGTTGGTCCTCTTGGGGCCTGGGGCCTGACGTTGTTGGTCCTCTTGGGGCCTCACGGGAGCTTATTGGGGCGTCTTGGGGGTGTCTTGGAGAGTCTCTTGGGGCCTCTTTCGGGGTCCTGGGCGCCTTCTGGGGCGGAGGGCTCGATTTTTCAGTTCTCGGTTCCCTTCTTGAGCCCCTCTTGGGCCCGTCTTGGGGCCTCTTGGTCCGCCTTGGGCAGCACTTGGGCCGTCTGGGGGGCGCTCTTGGGCCGCTCCGGGGCCGTCTTGGGAGCCTCGTGGGCCGTCTTGGAGCAGTCTTGAAGGCCTCTTGGGCCCTCTTGGAGCGTCCGGAAGCGAAAAGGCCAGAACGCAAAAAAACATCGAAAAAACAAATGAAAATCAACGATTTTGGCAACTTGGGGCCCTCTTCGGAGGCCTCTTGGAAGGCCCTTGGAGCGTCTTGGAGGCCTCTTGGGCTGTCTTGGGGCCATCTGGGGCGTCTTCGGGCGATCTTTGGCCGTCTCGGGCCTCTCTTGGACCGTCTAGAAACCTTCTCGGGGCCCTATTGGACCGATCTGGAGCCCTCTTGGACTCCGAAACAGAACTCCGGCATCTCTGACCCGACCTTGCCGGGGACTTGCCGGGAACTTGCCGGGACCTTGCCGGGGTACTTTTCGCCCGGGGACCCCCAGGGGCCGCCCCGCGCGCGCGAAGTAGAAATACTGTTAACCAGGTACCGGAGATTTTAGCAAGCCCTGGCCCGTTGGGCCGGCGAATTTTCGTCGTGGCTCGTGGTGGTTCGTCCCCCTCGGCCCCCCTGGGCCTGAGCCCCAGCTCCCCTGGGCCACCCACCCTTCGGAGCCTTCCTCCGTCCAGGCGTCCCAGGACAGCCCCCTTGGCCGTGGACATCCTAATGTTCGTCGTGGTTCGTGGTTCGTCCCCTTCGCCCCCTACCCTGAGCCTGAGCCCCAGCTCCCCTGGGCCCCCCCCTTGGGACCCCCCCTCCGTCCAGGCTTCCCAGGGCAGCCCCCCTGGGCCGCGGAACCCTTTAATTTTCGTCGTGGCTCGTGGTGGTTCGTCCCTCTCGGCCCCCCTTGGACCTGAGCCCCAGCTTCCTTGAGCCACCCACCCTTGGGAGCCTTCCTCCGTCCAGGCTTCCCAGGGCAGCCCCTTCGCAGCTCCTGTGTGCAAGAGCCAGGGCACGCGTGCCACTTGTTTTCGTCGTGGTTCGTGTCTCGTGGTGGTTCGTCCCCCTCGGCCCCTCCCCTGAGCTTGCGCCCCAGCTCCCCTGGGCCACCCACCCTTCGGAGGCTTGCTCCGCCCAGACTCCCCAGGACAGCCCCCCTGAGCCGTGGACATCCCAATTTTCGTCGTGGTTTGTGGTTCGTCGTGGTTCGTCCCCCTCGCCCCCTCCCCTGAGCCTGAGCCCCGGCTCCCCTGGGCCCCCCCACCCCCCCTTTGGACCCCCCTCCGTCCAGGCTTCCCAGGGCAGCCCCCTGGGCCGCGGAACCCGTTCCGTTCGTCGTGGTTCGTGGCTCGTGGTGGTTCGTCCCCCTCGCCTCCCCCCCCTGAGCCTGAGCCCCAGCTCCCCTGAGCCACTCACCCTTGGGAGCCTTCCTCCGTCCAGCCTTCCTCCGTCCACGCTTCCCAGTCCTTCGCAGCTCCTTTGTGCAAAAGCCAGGGCACGCGTGCCACTTGTTTGTGTGATTAGTCGTCGAACATCCGCCTGTAGGAGGGCCTCGCCGCCACCGCTGGATTCGCCTCGAAAACCTGGTCAGAGCGCACCCCGGGAGAGGTCGGGGGGGGTCGCAGTATCGGTGCTTGTTTGGCTTCCCCGGGAAGGGGAGGGATCGGAGCGTGAATTACCTACCCCGCTTTCGCTTCCAGGCAAAACCAAGCCATACCACGCGCCACCTCGTCAAGCGGCCTGACCAGTACAGGCTGCAATTTGGCATCGTTTGGTATCTCTTGGAAGCGAGGGTGGTCAAAAGCGAGGTAGGTTTGTTTCCCCCCTAAGGGAGGCGTGGGATCGACGCTTCAAGACGTTGGTTGCCTTTCTCCCTGGCTTTAGAGGAGGCCTTCGGAGAACTTCGGGGACCGCCGCGCGCCTCGGAGATGCCCCCGCGACCCCTGGCAAGGGGGGAGGAGGAACTGGGGTCGGGAAGGTTTTGGGGGCTTGGGGCACCTCACAGCAGCCAGATTTGGACGATGACTTCAAACATGAGGAGAGTGAGAGGGAGAGAGAGGGAGAGAAAGAGAGAGAGAGAGAGAGAGAAGAGAGAGGGCGAGCCTCACAGAGAAAGAGAGAGAGAGAGAGAGGCAGAAAGACGTACACGGCGACGGCGATGGCACGGGGACTGCGATCGTGCTGGTCGGCACCATCTCTGCGGCCTGCACGCGATCGACACCTCGTGAAAGGGGCTTGTTGCGGAACGCATGAGGGATGCGCGCAAGAACTCTTTTTCTTAAGGCCGTGACCAAAGTTGCCACCGCGGCATGGCTCATGGAGTGGTGTCCGGAGCTCGGCCGCGCAGGTGCGAGTTCGTGCGTGACCAGTGGCATTTGGCGGTCCAGAAGCAGCGCTGCACCGCCCACACCCACGGTACAGTCCACCCGCATAGCCAGGATGGGCAGTCTGCATAAGGGTGCCCTTGCATCCTCGCCTCCGCGGTCCATCACGCCGACATCCACATCCAGGACTTCCCTCCTCCCCTCCTC